TTTTCATTATTTTATTTCATAATAGTCGAAAGAATTTTGCATTGTAAGTTACGCAGCTTTTAACTTCTTTTTAAGCAATGAAACTTTACCTAGTAAAATACAAAATTTGTGCGAAACCGATGGAATAGTTCCCGAGAAATCAAATTTTAAAGAAGCCGTATTTTTACAATTTGATTTCTCAGGAACTACTATACAGATTTTGTTCCAATTTTGTATTTTGCTAAATAAAATTATATTCCTTAAAACGATGTAAATAACTGTGTACCTTACAATTCAAAACTACTTCGATAAATAAAAGAATAAGGAATAATGAATATTTACTAAAAGTCATATTCTGTATGGAATTATCTTTGGATAAACAAATTTTATAGTTGTCAACAAAAATTTTTCGAATCGCTTAAAATAATCTCGAAATATGGCAAAAACGCAAAAATTAAGAATAATATTAAGGGGTCCAAATTTTGAATCGTTCTCCTGACCAAAACTTGGGACCATGTTTCCCAGATTGCGGCTACACCCTATAGTTTGGGAATTAGAAATCCGAATCAGTCGAAGGAAAGGATTGTTTATCAAGAGAAAGTACGTTTTTTGGTCTGATTTTGTAACGTAAAATATCGTCTACATTATACTTCGAACCATAAAGATCGAGTTTAGAATGTGAAAATACGATCATTAGATCAAAAGTTATTCAGGTTGGTCAGTTTTTTTTGCACTGCTCTTGGTATATTTGAATCTTTACATTTATTGAATAGAACATTTTCTGCTTGCTTTTAATAAAACAGATTTTAACGTGCTAATTTATTAAGAAAAATATTCGGATCCTCGTTCGATAAATATATTGTTCCAATAGATAAATTAAATTTTTAGAAATAAGCTCTGATAAGTATCCCATTTTGATAATATATAACATAAGAAGAATTGAGGTAATAAAGAGAAATGGTCTGCAAAAGATATAAGAATGGATGATGCAGTTCAAATTTTGACTGTACGTGTTTTAGCATCCAAACTGTTCTGAAAGTTGGATTTTACTGAGAATAAAAACTTAGTTCGTAGTTTAACGATATTCTGTCATAGTTAGTTTGAAATTTATAACGTTTTTATAATAAAACCAGTTTTTCGCACATTAGATCAAAAAAAAGTTTTTTTATCCTCGCTATTTTATTCTGTAATTGAATTTACTCGAACAAAAGCTTCTCCATTTTTAAATTTTTCTACCAATACTGGAGAATTATTCTTTTTAAAATGCATTTCAGAAAAAACGCAGTATTAAAAATAGATTCTTGAAATATTATTTTGTTGCTTTTAAGAGCTTCAAAAATGCAGTAGTGAATTGTAAAGTGTTTCGAAATAATTTAATAATGTTAAGTGGGTTTAAATTGCCTTTAAAAGCTTTCTTCCCAACGGGCGAAGTAATAGCCAGATTTAGAAGGTCTTATCACGTATAACACTTTACGCAGGTAGGAAAACAATGCACAAACAATTTCATGTAAATATTATAAATTTAAATGCTTATCAGATACATATTTTTTTCTTATAATACATATATTTTGATTTTAAATATTATAATGGTAAAAAATTAGACTGAAATACGTAAAGTTTCTGAAATTTCAGATTTGCAAGACAGATTTAAAATGTTTTTTTAATATTTTAATATCAAGAAATTCAAATTTAGTATAAACTTATGTATGCATAATTAATGAAATTTGCAGAAAAGTAGGATAAACGTAAGCTTGCACTAATAATATTAAAGATATTCATAATTAGCTCAATTATTCAGACAAAAGACCATATAATTGTGTCATAGTCGGATATTTTGTCCCATCATTTGTTGTAAATTTTCCCTTTTAAATTTTCCCCAGAACTTTTAAAACGTTTAAAAGTTTTTAATCTTAAGAATTTTATGTAAATTGCATTTTTAAAATAAAATTTGTCAGCTAATTGTCAACAGCTTTGGCATTTTCAAACTTTCCTATGATTCATAATGCTTTACAATTAAATTTAGTTATGTTTGAATAATACTGAACCATTAATATATCTTAAATTGATTACAAACTTATTAAAGCGTCAACTTAAGCTATATTTGCATGTAAATTATATCTCCTTAAATATTAAAAAGAAACAATATGGTTCAACATAAATGAAAATATGTTTCAATCTTGTAAGAGATGACTTTGTTGTATTTTCTTTAAATGTATTGTTATAAGGGTTTCCCGAATGAAAAGTAAATCAGTAAAGATAGCTACACCACTTTTCAGGAATAAAAATTGAGGTAAGAAAAGCACACCACACAGATTAAGTATAACTTATTAATCAGTTCGTATTAGAGCATTTAATATGAATGTAAAATTGTCCTAAGATGGATTCTGATCACAACAATGCACTGCAGTACTATATTTAATGGTAGAAGTTAGTTATAATGTAGACAACTATCGTCGAATAAACGCGTTTCTGGTAATAGATTTCGTGAAGGGCATTTATCAATATCGGATCTGCTAATGCATAGAACAAGCAAGCACCATGATCTTTAATAATTCCATTTCTAATGTTCATGAGATGTTGAGACGCAATCGAAAATTTTTAACTCTTGACATCAGAAAGGCGTTTTATCAGACACGAGTAAAAGAATTTGCAATCACCTTCTGCTACATAAAAATCATACTACATTTCATTGTTCTGTTCAAGACGCATTCTTAACGCTACTTTGCATTTACTTTAAATGCTCTCATGTGACATAATTAATCGAACTGAACCTTTTGTGAACCTGAATGTTGGTGCTATTATCACAACTTTATTTTTAACGCTATCACACACGTGCATTTTTCATTTGGGCATGCCTTTTCTACATAGTTCTAAATATGCAAAAATATTCTTGTAATTTTCTTTTTCTTAAAACAGTGCTTTTTTATATTGGTGAAATCAATGATTATTCCGATTTCCAACTACGAGTATTTACTTAATGCTTTAGTTCTAATGCCAGTTTAAGATTTTTCAAATAGTGTTTATAGATTTCTTTAACATGCCGCATGTCATATAAAGAAAGCTTTCAAATGTATCCAAGCTATGAAAAATACGTAAATCTGGTTAAAAAAAATTAAGCAAATTAACGCTGTTTTCAGATGTATTAAAAAAAATGCTTATAATGTAGACTACAGAAAGTGACGAAAGCTTGCTTATATATGAACATTGTTCGTAATTTAAAAAAAAAACCTGTGACAATTATTGATATAAATAGAAGTAAATAATAGTTATTGACAATTAAAATAATAAAAACAGCAATTTTTAAAACAAAAAAAATAATATATAATAATAAAAACATTATTACACCTTTGCAATATTTACAATTTTATATCACCTTCAAAGGAAAACATTTGTTAGTCTCAAGGGTATAGTTTGTATCAATTGACGATACATGTTTTTACTTTTTATGGCGCGTGAAAGTTAGCTGTAAGAGTAACTGCACCTCAGTGAGGAAAACACAGTCCACATTTATGGGAAAATATACTTTTCGAACATACTGTAAAAATATTTTAACTTTGAATAACAAAGCTCTTTTTTGGGGGGAAGGAGAAAGGGGTGGAAATCTGGAAATATATATATATATATAGATTTTTTTAAGCAAGCCTATTTATCAAGCTTATTATAAAAGTATAATTTAATATAAATACATAAAATAAGAAACCAACGCAGATTTATATTTCTCATGTCAAAATAGGTACAAAGATAATTTTGTTACTGATCAAATAAAACCAGAAAATCAAAGAATGTTGTCGTCCTCTATTCTCGAATTGTTAACATCACTCCATTACGAGAAACATTACTAAACCCGGTGTGTTTATTCTTTAGAACATTTATCGCTCCTTAATTGAGCATTCACCGACACTCTATACTTAATATACCTTGTTAATCTATTTAAAGGTCTATCACTTACCCCTAATCTATTCTACAGAATTTATCATTTAACATTTAAATAGAGATCAGTCTATATACATTTGGGCATCGTCTATCACTTATATTGTTCATCATTTCTCGTTTTCAACTGCGTTAAGGATGTCTATTATAGATATATATTTAAAAAGATAGGTGAAGATAAGTAAACAAGTTTAAAAAAATGGATTTCATAAAAAATGAGAAATATAACCGTGAATTTTTAAAATGTTATGGGAATGTGACATAGATGTGGAAAGTAGTAATTCTTGCCTAGAGTTGATCTGGGAAATAATAACCCACTGCTGACCCACTGCCTGAAATATGTTGAATCTCCAAAAAAGCTTACTGTGCTGCCGTTGTTGTTATTAATCGATTGCTCTAGATCTAATGATCTAAATGTTACTTTGAATGATTATTTAACATATTTTGGGAAACATTTATAATATCACCCATGTTAAGCCGCGATGGCTACGGGAATAGAGAGTTCGCCTTCCAATAAGACGAACCGGGTTCGAATCCTAGTCGATACGAATCCCGCATCCGGTTGGGAAATATCCTCAGGGGTAGACGGATCATGGGTTAGAATCTCTTTGCCGTCAGGCTAACCGTGGGGGGCTCTAGTGGTCTTCCTCTCCATGTCACGCAAATGCGGGTTAGTTCCATCAAAAAGTCTTACACATAGACAAATTTCTCCCAATACTTGTTCCAGGAGTTTCCTTGTCTTCCGAATTAGATACAAAATTACAATTCTACGGGGTTGAACATTAGTAGTCATAAACCTAAAAATTGGGTAGGCTGTTCAACAATGGTTATAAAATTGAAAAAAAATTAAAAAAAACATCCATGTTGTACTTATGGCACTTATATCGTTAGTTACTCCATGTCTTCAATCGAATAATAGATGTACTTCCTACAAATTAAGTTAAAAAAATGATTGAAAGAAAGTTCAAAAATGTTTTTTTTTTTAACTACGTGACATATAGCAAGAGAATTTAAAATTGAATGGGGATATAGGTGGGTGCTGCATACATATAATGAAAAATATTTATCCATGCCTGGTGTTGGTGACGCACCTCTTCCTCTCGGGAGATCTCGGTGATATGAGACTTAGTGCCGACCCACTTGTTCTGCCCGGAATATATTCAACTTCTGTATCAACTTGCTGCTGTTGCTGTTGTCTGTTGTTAATCGATCGCTCTAGATTAGCAATATTGTGTTCAATGACGATCAAAGCTTGTCTATCATCCTCGAAGTTTTCACCTTGCATCGCAGCCGTGTTCCATTCGCACACAGAGCCATCCGGTGCGTTGTAGGAGACATCGAATAACAGAACAATCTAGAAAATAAAGAAACAGAGAAAAATGTGTATTTCCCAAGAGACGTTGCAAGATATTTGAAACCATATATATTTTAACGCACACATATTTTAACACTAAAACATATTTATAACACTTATAGTATTTCACTTAGTTTAATAGAATTATAACACTTAATATGCAGGAGTTTTAATTAAATTAAAAAGAAAAATGTTTGAGAAATAAGTCGATATCTAGCAGAAAACTTTTTCCTCATGATAGCAATTTTCAATAAAATGAAAAAAATTAAAGGAAAATAAATAACATTGTTTTTTTTCTTTAAGAAGATGAGTATTGATAGCTGCACTGTTCATTGAAGAGATAAAAATACATCGAAGTCTGTCTGTTTTGTTTATTTAGTTCAGCAACATTAAGGTTATGGTTATTATTATTATGGTCATTATGGAACCATAACATCAAGTGAGCTTGATGCAAATTTAATGTGGCGAAATGTGTAGAGAGAAGTAACTGTTTTTAAATTGGTTTATCCGACATTATGGTTCAAGAATAAAGAATACTTTGCTAAATTAATCCCATCATAAAGTTACAGAAAATTGCTCGATATTATGGTTATATTGATTCTTTTGAGTGTTCTTTTCATTATTGATGTCTGAAAGCACGAGGGGTGTCCATTAACGCGACTTTAAAGGGGCTAACATCATCTTCTGAAAATGTGAATTAGTAAACATTTTATATTTTAATTTATAACCGTCGTTGAACAGCTGACCCAATTTTTGGGTTTAAGACGACTAATGTTCAACTCCGTAACCTTGTAATTTTGAACCCACTCCAGAAGACAAGGGAACTCCTAGATCAAGTATTGAAAGAAATTTGGCTTCTGGACGGGCTTTTTTGATGGAACTAACCCGCATTTGCGTTTCAAGGAGAGGAAAACCACAAAAACCTCCCACTGTTAACCTCACGGCAAGGGGACTCTAACCCATGATCCGTCAAGCACTGAGGATATTTCAAGTCAGAACTGTGGTCGGTGCAAACCGGATGCGGATTCGTATCGACCATCTATCGCTGAGATTTGAACCCGGTTCGACTCATTGGAAGGCGAACGTTCTATCCCCTGAGTAGTCGCGGCTCAAGTAAGTAATTGTTAGAAACAGAAAATATTCTAATTCGAAAGTCCTGATACTTAAATTCTACATGAAAGTCTTGCATAGAATTTCCAAAGACTGAGTCAGATTATTTTTTATTATTCAATGACTTATTAACTCCTGATGAATGCATCTGAAACGATGCTCCAAAACATGCGAGTACATTGCTTAATTTAATGTTGCGCTTATGTACTTACCCTTATGTTTGATTTATTTATTAAAATATGAATTAACACGAAAGAAACACATGATTGAGTTACTTAGTTAGGATAGAATTCACATAAAATTATAAATAGGGTAGAATTCACATAAAATTATAAATAGGGTAGAATCCACATAAAATTATAAATAGGGTAGAATTCACATGGTGTAACTTACTTCTGTCGGCATATTGTTGACATCGATGAGTGAATCTGATACTCGTAGGTGTCCATCTTCGATAAGTTTTTGTAATACCAAACCATAAGAGCCCACAATTCTGAAAAAAAATTATTAAACATAAATTTTTTATGGTACATAAAAGTTTAAAAAATAATTTCGTTATTTTCAAAATAACAAATTCTATTAAAAACAAAAGAAAAATAATATTTTGGAAGCATTATTATATTACTTGTTAAGTATTTTTTTAAACCAATTTTGTTTAGTTTGAAAAGATTATTAATTGAATTTCGTGAATAAAAAAAGCTCAACATAAGTTACCTTGTTATTTTGCAATAACATTCTTTAAATTATTTCGCTGATTTAGCTTCATACACATTTTAATCTGAAAGCCTTCTCTGTCTGCGTGGGAAGACAAATACTTTTAGACTCATAATAGAAATAAAATTTTACCCTTATCTGTTGTAAATTACGCATGTTACTATTCTGGAATTTATTTCTGAACTTTAAACTATTTGAATGACACTCATGTGTAAAATTATTAAAAGATCGGCTACAAGAGTTTAAGGAAACAACATAAATAATTTGTCTTATAGTTATTGTTTCTTATTATATAGGTACATTCATACCTATTTAAATTTGATTAGGAAATAAAACTTTTATATTTGAATCAGGTAATAAATTTTAATTGTAGTATCAGGTATATGTTGCTTCTGACCTCACTATTTTACAGGAATTATATTGAATATAATGTTAAAAAAATTTGTAAAATCGAGTAATATTGAAACTTTTAAGCTAAGCAACACTAATTTTAGCTAATTAAACAGTGAAAAATTTACTGTAATATAGTTTAGTTAGAATTTAATATACTATTTTTCTTTAAAATTAGCAATGTTTTATTTTTAATCAAACAAATTACCAAGATTTATTTAAAAAAAACTTAATTCACAAAATTAATTTTTGGATAATTAACTTAATTTTCAAAGGCGTTGACTTAAGATTTTTTCTAATATATCTTGTAGCTATGTAGTTTAAAAATGCTTCTAAGGTTCTAAGACATTTTATTTAAAAAACAAACTGCAATGAGCTGTTAGACTCGTAATATTAACAGCGAGTTAATGACGCTTTCTATTATTATTTCTTCAAAAAATTGCTGTAAGCATATTCAAGAATAGATAAAAAAGAAAATGAAACCGCTAAGCTTTATTTATTATTTTCAAAGCCAATAAGATAGTTAAAAAATTTCTGTTTATTCATTTAATGACCTGAGTTAAGAGGTTTCCCACGTAATAAAATGCTGAGAGAATAAAATTTAAAATTTGGAAGCTGTTTTGGGAATAAGAATAGACATGCATCAGCAGAATTACTTGCAGTTTTGGTTTATTTAAAGAAGCTTAATCTTCTATCAAATTTAAATTTATAGATACATACTCATATTTTAAACCATCATTCTAAATTATTGTTAGTATCATGCTAAATTATTGCATTTAATTAGGAATCTACCTTCTAAAATATTCTTTACAGAGTAAAAAATTATTGCATAGTATGGATGTGATATTTCTGGTAAAAAAAAGAACTGTGATTCTGGTTAAAAAGCAAAATTTACGGTTTTTGAACCTTTTATTTGATTTTTTTTCTGCTTATATGGTAACGGTTTACGGGAAATTTTGTTTTTCAATATTATAGGTGTTATGACCACACATTTAGTAAAAAATACAAAAATAAAATGAAAAGTAAATTTAATCAAATAAATAGTTTTTATACCTTGCCCCAAGGTATATAAGGTACCACAGTTACCAAATTTTATTACATATTGTAAAAGCATCTTTTATTGTTAGTTTTGCCAAATCATTACCAAAAGGCTTCGGTAACACTTACCGAGCTTTTTTTTTGTTCCTATAGAGCCAGAAACACGGTAAATATTACCATATTCCGGTAGTTTTGAATATAGTTGTTTTCTCAGCGCAATTCAAATAAAAAGGTTTGCGCTGCTACTTTAATTTCAAGTTTTTTTATATTAATTGTACTAATTTGATATGATAAATTCTTATTTAATTGCTACATGTATTAATTGTGTACATATATGGCATCATGTTTATCACATGCATTTATGTTTAAATGAATTTCCTAGAATCAAAAATGTCTGAATCTCTATTTTATATAGTACATGTATATACATAGTTATATAGTACAAGTACAACTATACACGTATCATTAGAAGATTCAAATTTAGGGTACTAAGTTGCAATTACTTTACATTCTTGCAGCAATAGTGCGGATATCGATATTTTTGTTTTTTTTTTACTACTTTTTAAGGAAAATATTAATCAGAATAATGATGTTAGATTTTCAGTAAAGGCACCAAGGACAGTGAAACTGGGGAGGCAGAAGGAGCTTTAGCCTCATCACCTACTATAAATATAGGGACACAGTTTCTTCTGAGATTGTAATTTTTCACTCAATATATCAAATTTGCAATTAAAAAAATTTATTATTTATTTGTGTCTGATTTTTTTTTAAAAAAAAGTCACTATTTCAAGCGAGCTTTAACATTTCCTTGGTAAAAACTGCTACTCTTACTCATTCCCTCGCACAGGATGTAACAATTAATCTTTTTACGTTATTCCTTTTCTGTAAATCCTTTTATTTTATTTATTATTTTAATCGAAGCACTTTCTGACACTTTTAAATTCACATCCTGTCCTTAAATCTATTTTTGGTTCAAGTATGCATTAATTAAAAGTAATACATTTTTCCCCTTTGCTCTTTGTGGGAATCACGCGACCTATTTGATGAACCAATTACAATTACTAAGATTTCCCTTATTACCTAAATTGAAACATTTTACGGATTTACTTTGCAAGATTTTCCCTAACTTATAACGAGGAGCACAACTTTTCGTGACCACTTTTAAAGCTATTCTCTGTCTAATAATAAATAATTAAATTTTGTACCCTCCTTCCCTGCCTAAGACCTGTCTTAATCCTTCCCACTCGGCAACCAAACTCTTTTACCAAAGAACGTGCCACATTTTTACTTTGTAAAACCGAAGTAAAGTTATAAATTTAATATATTCTATTTCACTGTATGGAATTCTTTCAGGAATTCTATTTCACTGTATGGCACTCATAATATCCTTAAAATTCTCATGCAATATTTGGATATTTGCTTAAAACTTCAAATTAATTAAACAATTTCATATTTAAATTTACATTTCAATATATTTTAAATCAAATTTATTAGAAAATAGAAATTTTTTAATTCTTATAAACTAGTTTTATCAGGCGCTCAATGCTAATAACAATATTTTTGAAACAGAATTTTTTAATTTTCTTATTTAAAATCAAAATATTATTTTAAGGAATCGACATTTAAATATCGAACCGCTCAATCAATTTAATTATTAACGAAATTTATCTGAGGAAAACTAAGTCTTTTGAAGTTTAAATGAGATATTTAAATTCCAAACCATGAGCACCTTCATTATAAGATTTCTTTACTTACTTATAAGGAAAACTGAATGCTAATTTAGAATTTCAATATTTGCTATCCTTATAATTATGTTAAGATGAAAGAAAAACATATAAGCACAAAATGCATAGATTTAAATATATTTCACAAATACCCATGCTAAATATTGTAATAAGCATATAAAATATCTTCCAAAATAGGGCTGTCAGGATTTTTCAATTGTGCCCGCATTATTTCAAAAATGGTAATATTTATAATTAAGAATGCGGTGAATTAATGCAATAGGAATGTCTCAGATCCGTTTTGTAAGAATTTATTAATTTGTGTAAGAATTTTTGTATGTGAGAATTCTCCGTGTAGATTTTTAGAATCATTATTCAAATTCATTTCTTCTGTTTCTTCTTTTGATTAGATGCATTTAAATATATATTTTTGATTATTATTTGTGTTAATTAAATTACTTTTGTTTCAGAGAATAAACCTGATGTCTTCTAATATAAATTCTTCTTTTACAAATTGATATAATCTTTAATTTTGGGTTAACAAAGTATTAAGTTTATTACACATTTCGAGAAAATGTATTATTTATAAAATATACCTTTTTATCTGAACAGTGAGTAATTTTGTGTCTTACAGATTTTTCTTTGAATGCTTTTTTTTCCTTCTGAAGTAAGGCTCTTCAGCAAAAATACACTATTTTTATTTTATCATTCGTTTAAATTTAGTAATTTACAATTGTATGTGTTACTTGAAATACTTATTGTATTTATGTAATCTTTTTTAAATTAAGTTTAGTTCATCTAGCGTTATTTTTGTTGTTTATGCAAATTAAACATGATGTCAATGTCAAAAAAAAAAACTGCACCTCTTAGAAAATGCAGTTTTTGTAATATACCGTCATGTGGGGCTACTTTGTGCAAATTCGAATTTGGCACTTTTCAAGTGCTGCTATTCAGTATTATGTTTTTTTCACGTTAAAAATGTGTGGAATTTAAAGATAGAAGTCTCTCCTATTACTGCAAACACTTTTTCGAATTTTAAAACAATCTCAGAGTGTGCTTTGTTTATCCAATGTCAACAACTTTCCGAGAACGTCGGACGTCGAAAAGTGTGCGGGGAAACTTTAGCTGTAAAAATGCAAAGACGTTGATAAAACAATTGTCATAAGTGTAAAATTTTTTATTTGTACATTAATAAACAATTATATCATGTTAGCGATAAAAAAATTTGAAAATTAATAACAAATAAACGGAAAATGAAAAAAATTGCACTGTGGGACTACTTTGTGCAAAGTTTCATTCGTTATTTTTTTCGACAGAAAAATTGTCAGACGCTATAAAAAAAATACCTGGAGCGAGAAACTACCGTGGTTACAGTTTAGAAAAGCTGCAACAATGTTTGCAAGCAGTTGCTGGTGGTATGTCGATTGCAGAAGCTTCTCGGAAGTACAAAATCCACAGAAATACTATCTCTAATAAAATTCACAAGAAACACGTGAAACGTGCTGGTAAACTATTATTTTTCTTCTGCAAAGATTTTTCTAATGAATTAATCAAACAATTTAACACATAAAAGTATAGTTTATAGGACATCAGGTGATATTTACAGAAACTGAAGAGCAAGTTCTGT